GCAAAATTGGCCCGAAACCCTAAACTGCAGGGATGTGGCTTTGGACCCAAATCGTTTTCGGTTTTAGGGTTTCTGATGTGAAGGGATTGTAGGAGTGTGGGTTCACGGGTTCAGTCAGGGGGTCGGGGCTGCAGTGGCTTTCCGTGTCAGAGGATCAGTCCCAAAGAAATCGAATTGTGTTGTTCGGCCGCGACTGTGGTTTGGAGTGGGGCCAAAGGCCTTTACGGAGCCAAGTGTGAACATGCAACTCTATATTTCTAGCGTAAGGGGAATCCTCAATTCTGATGCTAAGCCCGAGGCCCTAGAAGCATGGATCCTCAAGGAACCTAAACCCTTAAACCGCCATAGAGCCCGTACGATCGCGTTTAGACCCTTCGTACTGCCCTTATCAAACCCTTATTTCACAACCAACCCCTCTGCAGTTTAGCGGTCTTGAGCTTGCTTCGTACCATGGTTCCGTTCCATACGTTCGAAGAGTCTTGCATGCTGATGCCTTCAAGTTAAGTCCTGCAAGATCCAGTTCATTTTGCTATGTCAAACACGAGTTTGGACTTGAGGGTTGCGCTCCTGCGAGGGTTATAGTTTTCCTTGAGCTACAAATCCTGAACTCCTTTGCAGGAGCAGTCGGCAGGGATGTTGCTTGAGGGGGATCTGACCCCAACACTTGGGCTTTACTTTTCCGACTTCCTTATCTGGGGATGTTGCTTGAGGGAGATCTGACCCCAACATTTAGGGTGTAGACCTTCCGATCCTGCAAACCTGCAGCCGAAGGTGGCGGGGAGCTCCCTCCGGTGCTGCAGCAGGCCGACGCCTTTACAATCCTCGAAGCTAGCTCAGTAGGTCACTGGATAGCCTTTAAGCTTTAAACCTTTGAAGTGTATATGGCTGCCTTTGCTGCCTGCGGCACTGCATGAGGACCAGAGGTGATAGATTTTACTTGTGAATCCCGCTAAAGCTTACCACAGTAGTAGAAGAGAGCCAAGTAGAGGTAATACAGGTACTTTCGACATACTTTCGGAAACATCACCCTATGCTCGTTGCAGGCAGGCGCCTAAACCCTGCAGTCTAAACTTCATAAATCCTTTTCCATATTTTTGCAAACAGGCCCCCCCTTGGGGACTTTGGAGGACTCAGAGTTTGACATCAGCGGTCTCAGGGTTTTGCGGCTGGGAAGAATTTGCCATCATGTTCCCTGAATATGGCTAAATATAGTATAATATACCCGCGAACCCTCGTTGACATCATTGTTCAATGGAGGCCCCCGTACTAGGCTTGTTTGGTGCTTCAGGGCCTAGGGCCTAAGGTGAGACCAATTGCAAGCCTGAGCCCTACCTACAACCGAAGCCCTTCAAAGAAACCCTGTCGAGGTTTCGAGGTTTAGGAAATCTGTAGGGTTTAGGGTTTAGGGGTAGTGCTCATGTGTCTTCCAGGGCCTGAAAGCAGACAGCTTTTGGCGTGAAGACTGAGAGCCATGGAAGCCCCCCAGCCAGAAGCCAGTTGCCAAACGTCCTAAACCCAAAGCTCCCAACCTCCAGACCCTAGACCTCGAGACCTTAAATCGAACTCCTAAACCCCTTAACCCCAGACCTGTCAACCCCTAAGCCCAAAACCTCCTGACCTGCAACCTCCAAGTCTCTTCACCCAAACACCGATCGAAACCTTAGACTCCTTGATCCTGAAATCCGCAACGAAGCCTTGGAGGTGCATCCAACGCCAGAGGGCAAGAAGGAGCCTTCGAGTTAGGGCAGTTAGGGTTCAGGCTCTGCGGTTTAGGTTTTAGGGTTTAGGGTTTAGGGTTTAGGGTGGCAGTTAGGGTTCAGGCTGTACTTTTTAGGCTTGTGTTTTCGCGTAGCAAAGGCTCTGAATAGGCTTCGAGTAGAAGGATGGAGGGTTTAAAGTGCTGAACTACGTGCTGGACTACTGAGGGCGTAGGGTTTAGATTTGGGTTAGGGCTTGGAGGTTCATCGCAGGTAGAGGGCTTAAGTGTGCAAGCACATACAGAAACGCTCAGCGCACCGAATGGAGACTAATGTAGGGGCCTGAAAAATTACCTATACTATTTTGGGGAGGTTCCTTATTATAACTATAGTATAAAGGACCTCAAGACCCTATTCTAATCATCAAGGCCTCTATATTCGACAGCTGAGATCCAGGAGCCCTGCCCTGCAGATTCAAAACAGACAAAGCCAAGTACAGCGATGTCACCTCTTGTAACCCCCCCCAAACCTTCAACCCCCACAGCCCAAAGACACCTCAAACCCTAATAACGCTCAACCCTAAACCCTAAACCCTAAACCCTCCTAAACCCTAAAGCCCTGAGAACCCGTCATTTTGGGTCAGGCAACAAAGCGAAGGCCCCCCACAAGACCCCACAGCCAGAAGCCCGATCTGCGAGCTCCCAAACCCTATAGTCCCCACGTCGCAACCGCAAGCATCCTCTGGATCCGGTACTCACCCTATACTATAATAATTCTAGGCCCTCAAGCCACCAAGCCTATGAACATCCACAAAGAGACGTCGGCTTCGCTATCGCTTCTCATCTTAATCTTCGAAGTCATGGCATCCAGGATGCCCCCGCGCCTTCTCCAGACCCTTCCTGCTATGCTCCGTTGATGGACAAGCGAGTGGCACGGGCCCTGAGTTTCTTTGTGTGCGTGTGGGTGTGTGGGTGTGTCAATGCGGGTATGTGTCGCTCAGGCTTCATGCGTGCAAGCTGTGGAGCATTTTTTCAATCTAGCGGCGTGAACGTGCTTGTAATAACAAGGTTTGATCTGGTTCCGCGAAACTTCGCAGTCGTTTCCCTAAGCAACGATCAAGGATATCTCAGTGAAAGGACAGGATGGTGCCGGTGCAGCTGCCAGAGGACGACATATTTTCGATAGCTGAGCCAAAGATATCCCGACCATACGGCATGCTTTTCTCAGGATTTCGGAACTTGTGTCGTTTCAATTAACCCCTTTGTTCGGGAACGCCGGCAACGACAGTCCCTCGCCTTGTTTCCGCACAGACAGAATCATGATCACGCTCTTGTGTTTCATTTCGTGAAGTAGTGTCATTTGTTGTCTTGGCATCACCGAGCCGCACCATTGTATCATCATGTCGCTTCCACGAACTTCCTCTGTTAGAGTTCAAGCTGCTGAACCCTAGCATCCCAAACATGGGGGAAACCCTTCGGCCCTGAACCCAACCGAGGTGTTGGCCGTGCACAAAGTCTTTTCCTCCTTGGGTGCTGGCGCATTGGCCCTCCTAGGCAGGGCGTGGGGGTTTAGGCCTGAAGTCGTCATTGTCAGTGTACGGCTTGCGGTTAGAGCAGCTCGTGCAACAGAGTCAATTGAGAATGGGTTTCCGCGGCAAGGAGGTTGAGGCGTTTCTGATTCTGTTGGAGCAACAGAATTTGGCCTTGGATGTAGGACTGCTCCTGTAGCGCCGCTACCACCCGCTACCACCACCACAACTAATTGCTGCTGCTGTTGCTGCTGCTGCTGCTTCTCCTCCTCTTCTTGCCAAGTTGTAGCAGTTCTAGCATCGTTGGTACCTGCAGTCATAATGCCAGTGGTACTTGGCATAGTAGTGGGTTGTTTTGCCATCGTCGAAACAACAGTAGTGCCATCAGTTTGATCGCCAGTTTTGGAACCGAAAGGGGGGCAATTCCCAAAGCGTCCGCGCCAGTGACCCCGGAAGGGTCAACTCCAACCCTTGAGCCCAAAGCCCCTGAGCCCTGTAGCCCGACGAGGCTGCTGAAAGAATCTAAGAAAGCAAAGCAATACACAAACCCCACAACCCGGAACCCTGACCCCTAAGTCTCAAGCATTAGAAATTGCGTGAAGTACTGCGCCCCAAACTGAAGATAACCTCCAAAGTGCCCCCAACCTGTCCTTGTAAAGGCTTGCAGCCAAGAGCCCAGAGAAGGGCTTGGGTTTTGGGGTTAGCGCGTCAGTATGGGGAGGTTTTGTAGAGGGTCTTCAACTAATCCTGTATGGATGTAGCAGCTGGGCAGAGTAGGGTCTAAGAAGGTGCGGCCCAGCATACTTCAACTTCAGCTTCGCGCGAAATCCCGCAGCATTTCAGCTCAGCTTGAGGAAGAGGTCCTTTGCTCGCTTGTGGAAGCTTAGTACACGAGCTTTCGCAGAGCTGTCATGTCACCCCGGGATGTAGTCACGCCGACATCTTTGAAGCTCATGAGGAGCAGGAGCCCAATCAGAACAGGACATCACACGGCCTAGACGAGCGACGACCCCCGCAAGAGCAGGGCTAAATCCTGGCTGAGCTGGCAGAGCCAGTGGTTAACATTTGCCGCCTGCGGCCATGGGAAAGTCCAAGTTCAACAAGCACCTAGCCAGAACCTTTAGGGTTTGGGGTTCAGGGTTGATTGTTTAGGGTACACTCTTATATAAGATGTCCTGACTTCATGATGCCTAGTTCTGCAAGACTCCGGGCTAGGGCTCTGAAGCATTAAACCCTAAACCCTAAACCCTAAACCCTAAACCCTAAACCCTAAACCCTAAGGTTTGAGACTTCCGGCTTCGAGGTGTTCAGCTCTTTGGGATTCCGGGTTTGGGGGCTGGGCCTTGATTTAGGGCCTTGATGTAATATAGGGGCCTTAATAATTACCTATAGTATTTTGGGGGTTCCTTTCTTATAAGTATAGTATAATGGGCCCCAAAACTGTATTCCAATTATTAAGGCCCCTACACTACATGGTGGCATGCCCGCTACAGCACGAAGCCTATATTCTGACAGACGGCACTGCCAGCACCCTGAGTCCTGCATCCGCTGACACTACGTCACAGAGGCTTGAAACCGTAAACCTTCAAACACTAATGTCATGCCCCCAGAAAAATGAGAGAGCCTAGGCGCTGTAAAGTTTCTGTCCGAAAGTGACCATCATGATGGAGCTGTTTCCCAGTTCTTCGTTGGGCTATCGGCTATCGATCTATTGAGACAACCGAGAGTTTTTCAGCAGTTCTCGAAATTAGACCCATGTTCAAGCTTGTGGGTTCCGTGTGCAGATTATATAGCTGTTAAGGTATGGATCCCCTAGTGGAGGGGGGCTACCGCATGCCTGGAGTAGGTCAAGTTTTCGTCCTGCCGCAGTGGTGCCCTGGTCCCCTCCACAGAAAATGCGCCCAGGATGGCATGTGCCAATGTGTTTTCTTCTGATCCGCCTCCACATGCCGACCCGCCGTGCCTGAACTGCGAGAGGGCTCTCGGATTTTAGGGCTTGGGCCTCGGGATTTGGGTGCATAGGGTTCAGGTTTGTCGGGCGTCCCGTTTGGGGCCCCGGGATAGGGACATCATCGAGGGCTCACTGAGGGCGCTTGCAGGGCTTGGGGGCAAGCCATGCAGGTGCAAGGTACCGCTTGAAAAGCCCTACAAGCCCTGAAACCCCTCGGAACCCTTCTGCCACTGTATTGCCACATATCACATGATGTGACATTGCACCATACCATCCTAGATTGCACCATGCTGTATATTGTATTATATATTATTTGCAAGATGTGACCGTGGGCCCTTATTAATACTACAGAATTGACTTTTGTGAGGTGGAGTTTGCTCTAATACTAATGTTGTGTATACTTCATCAGAATACAATATAGTATATCATGCTGCATTGCATTATTTTGGCTCTATTGCGAAAATCAAATCATATTATATCATATAGTGTTATTTGTATTTTCATTACCTATCTCTCTATCTCTCTATCTCTCTATCTATCTATCTATCTATCTATCTATCTATCGACATGTCTATCTGCAATGTATATCATATTGTACTATACTGTACTGCATGGTATTGTAATGTAGTATACTACAACGACATAAATATTCACAGAATCAGTGCTAAACTGTTTCCCAATACGAGCACATATTTTGCTCTTATTTTACTTCAATATGGTTACTATTCTAAATTATATCGAATTCTGTTATAATTAGTTCCACCATATCAAATTACAGTGTATGTTGTGTGACACTATATATTATATTTCATTGCATTGCATTCTACTGTCTGTTATACTTTACTGCGTTGTATGGTATCATAGTGAAGTATATTTTAGTATATGATATTATATAAGTTGTTCCAGTTTATTGTAGTACATTTTGTTTTCATAGTGTATGCCATGGTAAGGTCGGGATGTATTGTGCATGGTATCGTATTGCAGTGTGTTGTGTTTTAGTGCTTTATTTGAAGAAGCTTCGTTTTACCATTTTTTATCAGGATATGCCATATTATGTTATATTATAATATTTTTTTACATGCTGTTTGATTACATTAGGTGGGATTCGATTATACTGTCTCAGATTTTATTGTAGTTTATACCTCACACCATAGCATAATATCATACTATGCTACTTTAAATCTCATTGTATTCTATTGTGGTATGAGAGTGTGGCAGGCTCTGTGGATCCGAATCTTGCGCAGTTTCGTTGGGGCATCTTGCTCTGTGTCAATACGTGTAGCGCTTGAATGCCCATATTGCGGCAGAGATGCCCAATGGAAGCTCTGTGACATTCTGATATATCGCGAGGAGTCTTGAACCATGAACCGTGAACCCTGTATCCTAAACCCTTTACAATCATGGATGCCTTGGATAGTGATACTCTACCATACATCTCAATTCGAATTCACCCGCCACCACTAGAGCAGGGGGGGGGCTTCCCGACTAGTCATAAACTCCAAACAGCCTCACAAACCAAAATCAGGAGAAAAAAGGCCCTTATGAACTTCCAAGACCACTCCAGTTTCTGGACTCCTTTTAAACAAGCCCCAGACCTGTTGACGCTGAATCTTATCCCGAAGCCACAAAACCCAAACAAGCTGAGGGCCACATGTCATGGCTTCACGGAAGGCGGGGTGTGAGTTGAAAACTCTTCCGTTTGAAAGAACTGGCTCCCATGTCTTTAGCCTGGGCGTGGGTCCTAAACCCCAAACCCTGAACGCTAAGCTAGTCTTAGAATGTAAATTGCGATGCTGAGCCATCGAGGTGAGGAGACATTATTCAGGTTTGCTCTCCCTGAAGAGGCTTCGGGAGCATTTAGACTGGGAGCTTCACGACATCTGTAGGATCCTAGGTTGGACCATTCCGCCCATAGAATCGCACAACCCCCGAACCTTAGATCGCTTCGGTGTCCATGGCATGGGTGTCTCCGGGCAATCCCTGAACCCTGTACCATGAATTCTCAGCCCTGAACCCCAAACCTTGAATTATCAGCATTCTGATACTGCGATTTCTACTATTGTTACTACATGTTGTTCACTTCTTGACTTTCTGGTCAATCTTATGCTTGAATTATCAATCTGTTGTTATGATCATTGTGTCTAATATTAATAGAAACATTTAATTTACTAAACACTTTGCAATCATTACTACTGCTACTACGACTACGACGACGACGACGACGACGACGACGACTACTACTACTACTACTACTACTACTACTACCTACTATCTACTATCTACTATCTACTATCTACTATCTACTACCTACTACCTACTA